TGAATCAAAGATTCATCTCTTGAAGAATCTAAAGATTTAAATAAGATTTCATTAGGTGAACTAATGAGTGCTCTTTAAGCACAAGAGCAGAGAAGGACTATTAGGCATAACAGATTAACTGAAGGGACTTTCCATGTGCAAAAGCAATAAGTTGGTAAGGGTACGAAGCAATTTAATCAGAAGAACAAATGCAAAATGAAGGTGGTGGCAGAAGTAAAGGTACAAAACATAAAAATTTTCCTCTCTGCATACACTGCAAGAAAACTACACATTCTGAGAAATACTGCTTGTCGAGGCCTGATGCAACTTGTGGAAATTGCAAGTAGTTAGGGAACGTTACAGAGGTCTGTAAATTTAAAAATAAAAACTCAAAACCACAGTAAGCTCACTTAGTAGATCCAACCAATGGACAGGAGGAGCAACTTTTTATAGTTTCTTGTTTCTCAATAAATGATTCATCTGATGCATGGTTCATTGATAATGGGCGCACACATCATTTGTGCAATGATTCTGAAATGTTCATAAATCTTGATGAGATTTACAAGTCTAGAGTAAAAGTGGGCAATAGAGATTTTTTAGAAGTCAAAGGCAAAGGCTCAGTTAATGTTAAACAAATTTAAGTATTAAAACTATTCCTAATGTTTTGTTTATACCTGAAATCAGTTAAAATCTACTGAGTGTTGGACAGATGCTTAACAAAAATTATTCTCTTGAATTTAAGGATTAAAAATGCACTGTTTTTTATCTTTCTGGAGAATAATTATTTTGTGTAAAGATGAAGAGCAGAAGTTTTGCTATTGAGTGGGAAAAGGTTTCTGAACATGCCTATTCCAACACCATTCAAATTATTTCAAATCTTTGGCATAAAATATTTGGGCACTTTAATTAGAGAAATCTCTCAAATATGAAGCAAAAGGAGATCATTAAAAACATGCCTACAGTCATTGGTGAAATTCAATTGTGTGAAATATGTCAACTTGGCAAGCAGACTAAACTACCATTTCCTAAAGGACAAACACGAAGAGCTAGCAAAAAGCTTCAGCTCATCCACACTTATGTGTGCGATCCTATAAAAATAGCCTTGTTTTTTGGTAATAAATATTTCATCATTTTCATTGATGATTATATTAGGATATGTTGGGTTTATTTCATTAAACTCAAGAGTGAAGTGTTTGATATCTTTTAAAAATTTAAGGCTTTTGTAGAAAATCAGAGTAATTTGTTGATTAAATGTCTGAGATCTGACAATGGTACTAAGTATACTTCAAATCATTTTGTTGAATATTGTAATAGTGCAAGCATAGTTTATCAGTTTACCACACCATACACACCACAATAAAATAGTGTGTGTGAGAGAAAGAATTGAACAATAATGAAAATGGTTAGATATCTTTTACTTGAGAAGAAGATGTCAAACAAACTATGGGCAGAGGCATTTGATACCTCTGTGTATTTGCTGAACAGATTACCTACCAAGGCATTGGAGAACAAGACACCATATGAAGCTTGGAATGTGGCAAGCCTGCCGTGGATCGTCTTCGAATTTTTGGCAGCATATGTAATTTTCAAATATCTAAGCCAAAAAGAAGCAAACTTGACAACAAAATTCAAAAGGGCATTCTTGTAGGCTATAGGACAATAACCGAAGGATACATGATTCTCTGCTTACAAACAGAAAAAGTTATCCTAAGCAGAGATGTGAAGATTGATGAAGCAGCAACATGGGATTGGGAAAATCAAAAAAATGTGTATTTTCATTCTTCATTTGATATCCAGAACCAACTTAAAGCTGATGAATTGGTGGATGATCTTCCACTTAGGGGTACAAGGACCTTGGATGATATTTACCAAAGGTATAATATTGCAATCATTGAACCTACCAGCTATGCTGAAGCTCAAGATTTTCTAGCATGGAGGAGAGCAATGGATGCAGAAATGGAGATGAGCAACAAAAATAAAACATGGCAGCTGGTTGAACGGCCTAAGATCACAAGGTGATTGCTGTTAAATAGGTTTTTAAAATAAAACTCAATTCAAATAGTTCAATCTGTAAACACAAAGTCAGACTGGTCGTGAAGGGTTATGCTCAGCAATATGGAGTGGACTACCAGGAGACTTTTGCTCCATTAGCAAGGTACGATACAATCAGACTTCTCATTTTTTGCTCTTGCTACTTATAACTCTTGGCAAATTCAACAACTCGATGTCAAGTCAGCTTTCTTGAATAGCTTTCTTGATGAAGAGATTTTTATAGAGCAACCAGATGGATATGTTGTTCAAGGGAAAGAGGATCATGTGTACCTACTTAAGAAGGCCTTAGTATGGTTTAAAACAAGCCCCTTGAGGTTGGTATGACAGAATGAATAATCATCTTAATCAGCTTGGGTTCAATAGAAGTCAAAATGAAGCAACCTTATATGTAAAATCCTGTGGTAATCATCTCTTAATTATCTCTATTTATGTTGATAAAATGCTAATCACAGGAAGTCAACTTGGACTGATCCAAGAGTTCAAAAACAAAATGTAAAAAGTGTTTGAGATAACTGATCTTGGAACTATGAAATTATTTCTTGGAATGGAAGTGTTGCAATCTAGCCATGGCATTTTCATCTGTCAATAGAAATATGCATCTAATATTCTAAACAGGTTTAAAATATAGGATTATAAACCAGTGGGGACACCTATGACAACCAGTATCAAGCTAAGTAAGGATGATGACTCTGAGAATGTGGATGAAAGCTTATATAGAAGCTTAATTAGCAGCCTTCACTACCTCACAGTAAGCAGACTTGATATACTGTTTGTTATAAGTGTTCTTTTAAGATTTATATATTCTCCAAAGAAGACTCACTTCACAGCTGCAAAACGTGTACTTAGGTACATCAAAGGTACCATTACTCTTGGTACTTTTTTCCCAAAAATCCCAAGGAGAGACTTTGAAGTTGATTGGCTACACTGACTGTGATTGGGGAGGCTGTGTTGATGATTCAAGAAGCACTTCAGGGTATTTATTTTCTCTAAGTTCTAGTTTTTTTACTTGGAGCTTAGAGAAGCAAGAGATAACAGCTCAGTCTACTGCAGAAGCTGAATATATCACTGTTGCCTCTGCTGTCAACTAGGCTATTTGGTTGAGGAAGATGCTTAAGGATTTGGGACATGAGTAAGCTAAAGCAACCAAGATTGTGTGTGATAACATTTATGCAATCTTAATTTCAAAGAATCCAGTCTTTCATGAACGAATCAAGAATATCAAGATTAAATTATATTTTATTAGAGAAGTCCAACAATCTAATGAAGTGATGCTTGTTAACTGTTTATCTGAAGAACAACTTGTATACATTTTTACCAAGCCACTGCCTAAAGAAAGGTTTCAAACTCTGAGGCAAAAAATTAGAATTTGTCATCAAAATGCCAAGAACGAGTGTTAGACATATGACACTTTAATTCCAGTACATTGATTTATTGTCTCTGTTAGTTTCTTTTCAGTTTCATTTAGTTTCTTATCAGTTTTATTCACTATATTTAGTGAAAAAGTTAGTAAGTTAGTGATTGTTTATGGCTTAGATATTAGCGGCAATTTCTTATCAGTTTTATCTATTATGTTTAGTGGGAAGTTAGTTATTTTTCTTGCCTACAAATTCTGCAATTAATGAAATGAAATCAAGTTGGAATTTTTACCCATCTTTTTAAGTTTGAGTTCTTCCAATTTTTTGCTGCTGCTATTATGTTTTACAACAATATTCCTTGGCTATATTGCATCAGGTGATTATGTTATTACTTTTCAATTTTCTCACAAACGTGCATAAATTTATAGAGAATATTACAATAAACTCAATCTTATAATAGTAATTGTATGTTCAAAGTTTCTACTCATTAGATGTTAATATCTAAACAATAGCAATTTCTAAAAAATTATAATCTAATGGCTTAAAACATATGCTCAAAGTTACAGTGTAACACTATCCTAAATCTTTTCTTCTAATGATTACATCAATCCATAAAAAACTGATATGAACTTGGCGTTACCAGCATCAAGACACGAGAAATTTTCAAGACGTGTATAATTTCCGTGAACATATCTAAGCTTATGGTTGATTTTATTCTTCTATGATTACATGAATCCATATAATGGTTAACAAAGTACGGAAGTGAAGGCAGAGTATCCAACAAAGGAGATGTTTACAACTACAGAATCATGTTGCTAGAGACCATGACAAGGAAAAGGCCAACAGACTCGATATTTGATGAAGAAATGAGTTTGAGAAAATGGGTGAAGGCTTCATCATATCCAGATAAGATACTCAAAATTGTTGATTGTTGTTTAACGGGACAGATGATATGCCCGCAATGCAGAGTGTTCTTTGTTCAATCATGGAGTTGGGCTTCGAGTGTAGTCAACAATTGCCAGAGAAAAGAATGGACATGAAGGAAGCGGTGGTCAGGCTAACCAAGATAAAATCTACACTTCTTTTAACCATGAACAGTAGCATTTGATTAGTTTGTCTTCTATTACTACTCTTAATATACAGAACTAAGATATGGTTTACTCTTAACACACAGAATTAGGATATATTTTGTATGAAAATGGTAATAGAAATCACACACTCATAAAACTCAAAATGATTGTGAAAGCGAGTTTATGAGGTTGAAAAGGTCTGCTACAGCTTCCATGCTGCATTCTGTTTGGTGGTTTATAAGGAAATGTTGAAACAAACTGAAAGAAAACATGAAGTTAAGTTAGAATTAAATTGTTAATGACAAAAGAATGGAGGACAAAGGATATGGAGTTAAAAAGATTCTAAAAAATGGAGAAAAGAAAACCATTGCCATACATGAAAATGCTCAAGGAAAATAATTCTTTTTTTTTTTTAAGGTAATCTATAAGAGAGTAAATTTAATATTACATTATATGAGGGTATAAATGACACAAAATAAAAAAAATAAATATTTGAGAAAAATTTTAATTACAATTAATGATCCTCGAATCATGAATCACAGAATTTACTACAACGATAATTTATATGGAATTGTATTTTAGCCAATTACATACAGGAATATATCTTCACAATGTAATAATTGTCAATAGAACTGTATTTTAGTCAACCAACCACAGTAGTAAGACTTCACAATGTAATTATTAACCTGGCTCTCGTCACCAGAATAGTTTTGGAACCTCAACAGCGCACCAACCTCCATTTGAGGACACTGACTGTTGTCCAAATCTAATGTATTAACATATTTTAATTATTCAAAACATGATTTTGCTTTGCTAGGACTTGAGTGACTCAACTAGTTCTTGGATAACTTTTTCTCACTCCAATTACCGGGAAAAAGAAGATTTACACAGCACAAATATAAAAAAATGTAAGATCATCATGCAGACCCTGTAAGATATATTTTTTTTTATTTCATCACTGTGAAACCACAGTGCCTAGTTTACAATTGTTGAATCTCTATAATTATAATCCCATAGGAGAAGAGGAATCAGCATCCTACCACCCATGTGGTTCAGTGAGAAGCAGGAGACACCCAGGAAAGAACTCTATATTTCACGAAAAGAAAGATCGAGTCTTGTTACGTTCCAATCGAGCTTCCCTCTAGGCAAACACCAAAAGAAATAATAAATAATAGCCAAAAGGAGAAAAGATTATGGAACTCAGTATCAGAGGTTGTTTCATTAAAGCATGATACAAGCAGGAAACACATGTCTCAACAAGATATTTAAATGGATAAGACTAGCTAGCTTCAAAAATTTCAAAGAAATTCCAAATACCTCTTTTTTCTTGCAGTCCTTGTAAATATCAAAATGCTCTTGACATTTGCTTTTGTCTGATCCAAATTCTTCAAGACCTGAAAGGTGTCAAGTTTCAAGATAAAAGCCCACCATATCAGATTAAATGATGTAAGACATTTCTACACTGGCAGACTATGAGCATACGCTGTTTGACATATTCAAATTTTTAGCAAATTTTTTTGGGCCATGAAAAGATTTATTTTTTCCACACTTCATGAGTCGTATAACTCATAACATGCAACACTGCCTAAGCCACAGCACGAGA